ACGCTCACTCTCTCTCTCTCTCTCTCTCTCTCTCTCTCTATATATATATATATATATATATATGCACACAGTAGCAATTTTCATGTCCTTTTTGTTTCTTTTTTCCAAGGTGTCTCTCTTGAGCGTTGTAAATCTTTTTGCTATTATTTCTTTTTGCTCCAAGGAGGTATTGTAACTTGTAAGGTTTGTGAAATTTCCAAGGAGGATTTGTAACATGTAAGGTTTATGAAATTTAGTAAAACTGACCCAAAATACAGACATATTACCAGGAAATCGACAGCCTTACTCTAGATAAACGCATTGCATATCCGTTTTCCTGAACAACTGATTGAAAAGTCAGCTGAGTCGTTTCGACTCGGCGAAGTTACTTGGGCTTGGGCCTTTGTCGATCCCGAGTTATCCCCCAGTTGGATGTCTAATTCAAGGATCTTAAAAAAAAATTATAAATTCTCAAAAAAATAAGAAATATATTTGAAACATGTTTATGTTTTCTATGATTTTGACAAAGATTGGAAAGTATTTTTGCTATGAATATTTATTTTTATATTTTTCCATTTTTTTTCGGAATTTCAAAAGTAACCTGGGTCACAAACTCATTTTTTAAATCTATTATTTCGCTACTTTTTTTAACTACAATTAGTTGCGTTTTGTTAAATTTTATTTTGGATATATTTTTTCAATTTATTTGTTTTAGTAGTTTTCAATTGCTATAGTGCTCAACCTTACTCAGGCTGAGTTAATCGGGCTCAGGCGAATACTCAGTTGGGGCATGGGCCAAGTAGTCGGCCCAAGTTGACTTTTCGAACATGCTTCTTGCAATATGGTTATATGCTTCGAGATTGTTGTTTAGAGAACAATTGTTACATGCAGGCCGGGTCACAGTTCCACAAATATACGGTCCAGAGGTATAAAACATACATATGGATGCAAATAGGTGGTCTACCTAAAAACAATGGTAACTAACGGTTCAAATGTTTTTTTAATATAATTATTATTTTCAGTTTTTATTTTTATTTATTTGTTTTTTTTCAAATTCATGATCTCTTATATATTCTCAAAAAATTATGATCAAAGTGTATTAAAAAAAAATATTTATTGCCAAGCTCACATTTCTACATGTGCCGGCTTGGCCGCATGCTAACCGCGTCCTTGTTTAAAAGACTAAATTTTGACATGTAATTTGCGCAGCCTAAACGTTCAAAATAAAGAGTAAAAAGGCGTAAGGGACATACTCCCAAAAAAATAAAGTCCATAAAAATTCTAGATGGTCAAATTAAGGTGTTTACCCAATTTCTTTTGAGAATAACAATCAAGTAATTTTAAATTGAATCTCAAAACCGATATCATTGTTTTAAAAATTTTCGAGCTAACTTGTGGTCTCAAATCTATTGAAGTGAAAAGACAAACAGACAGTTTTGAGTTTTCACTGGACGAGTAATGAAGAGGCTGATGCCTTTGCTAAGGGGGGAGTGAATCGTCGGTCCTTGGTAGTGCCTTGTTTTCTATAATTCTCCTTTCATTTTCATTGTACACCTTGTATCTTGATTTGAGATCAATGAAAAGTCTATGTTAATATTCAAAAAAAAAAAAAAATCCGTGTATAGTATAGTCCCGATGGAGCTTAATGAATTCTTGCCCCGGTAAAATACCAGTTTTTTTGGGTAGATTAAGATACCAGTTTCTTTATATTAGGTTTTGGTTTTTAGTTTAGAATCACTGCATGAGTATACAAAAAAAAAAAGTCGAGTTTTTAAAGAGTGTCCAAGTTTCATATAGTCCTTATTATCCTAAAACATTATTTCCCTTGAGGATTGATTGTGAATATTTTTCGCTGTCGGAAAGTGGGTGCAAAGTTGAAGGGCCTTAAATTTGATGGGTTGCTAAAAATGCCTCTAGATAGGTTTTTAACCGTGGGGGTAAATTTATGATATGATATTTCAGGAGCATGTAATATTAGGCTATATAATATAGAAAGCAAAAAGAAGCAAAGGTGACGATATTTTAGTTTTTTTCATTCGAAATAAACAAAATTACCAAACTACCCAATAAACAAAATTACCAATTACCAAAATACTCTTGAATCTGGTAATGATTTTTTGTTATTTTCATTATTTTTATTATTTTTATTTTTATATTTTTTACAAGTGATATGGTTAGAAGTATGAACTCATCAAATTGGAATTTTACTCTAATGCATAGGAGAATTAAAATACTGTACGCAATATAAGAATTTCCCTTTCTTTAAGCACCAGATTTACAGTGAGTATATCTGGATTACTTTTAAAAATAATGGATTTAGAGGGCTTTTTGTTTGTTTTTTTTTTTTTTTGAAGATTTTGAAACCCGTTATATCTGCTCTTACAGCGTTATGAATCAGTTGGGATATTAAACGACAGAAGAAAATTCTACAAGCCAAGAGCTCATTGGCCAGAAACACGTAGCTGGAGGATTTGTTAAACGGAATTCTTGCATATCCTTTATTAAAAATAATGCATTTTAAAAAAGAAAGATTCTTTTGGGTGAATAAAAAGAAAAGATTTTAAGTTCATGTAAGCCTAAATCCACTATCCGTCGAATGGAAGGGGAGAGTCATTGTGAAGTACATTCTGTTTTTTTAAATAATGTTGCGTTTCGATCACTAGAATAATGACCATATTCACCCCCAGCTCCAATGGGCTCATGATACAGTAAAAACCCAGAGGCTCATATAATCTTTTCCCTTTTAAAAATAGAGAACCAGGAAACTTGCAGAAAAATTTCATTTCATTTTTAAAAGTTGGACCACATTTCTAAACTATGCGGTCCCAAGGTATAAAACATCCATTAGGAAGCTGGACCACATTTCTAAAATATGTGGTCCCAAGGTATAAAACATGCATCAGGGATGCAAATAGGGGTCCATCTAAAAACAATTGAAACATATTCATGATCGATGTGTTAGATATTATATGACCTTGAATATTAGGTCCACAAATCCATTTTGAAAATAGATTTTTAAGAGATTACACATTTCTATATGGACTCATAGAAACCGTGTCTTTTTTAAAATTTAAATTTAGTTCAATGCTTTTTATATTTTAGACAAGCCTTTCGACAACACTTGATGTATTTTAATTTTATTATTTGTTCTATGCATCATATTAAACTCAAATTTAAAGCTTCCATACTTGTCACCATCACATACCTCTTAAAAACATCACATAGCTATTTAATAATAAAAATTACCAAAATACCACTACAAGATTCCAGTGTATATTTTCTTGGTATTTTTCCAGGTAAGAGATGGTGAGAAGGGTGAAAACCCCAAATTTGAGATTACTCCAATGTATAGAAATATTAACTAATTACAAAGACTGCTTGGGTTTCGGTGTGTTTTACTTGTCATTTCTCTCCCCTGGCTTTTTATCACAGGCTTATTCTCTCTCCTATCTGGCTCTCAAATATCTATGATCTCATACTATTAATTTATACTCCGCAAAAACAAAATTTTGATCCATTACTTAAGAGAACATTAGTTAAATCCAGTTGGACAGAGGTAGGACCACAATGAACACCTCAACTGGTTCAATAAATGGTCCAGTAAAACATGGTTTCTTGGAGTCGGAAAAATCTTATCGGTATTGAGGAACTGAGACTGAGTTTGCTCAACAAAAAGATTAGATGGTTTGACTAACGATTTACCACCATATTACATCATTTAGGTGTGGGCCGTTTGTGTGTGTGTGAATGAGAGAGATATGGACACTAGAGAAAGAGGTGGACTCAAGTAGAAAGAATAGTCAGTCACTCAAGGGAGGGTGGAGGGGGAAGAAAGAGAGATTCGGGCACCAGAGAGAGAGGTGGGCCCAAGTAGAGAGAGAGAGAGAGATAGAGAGAGAGATTTAGGCACTAGAGAGACAAGGTTGGCTCAAGTAGAAAGGATACCTGCTCAAAGGAGATATTTTTTTCCTACAGAATTGAAAGGATATTCTCATATAGGGAAACACCTAACATGGACCAATACACGATTTATAGGAGCCCATGTAAATTTACTAGTTTACAAAGGAAAGGATTATTTGAAGGAAAAAGTTTCATATAAGGTTTGAGGCATTAAACAATCAAACTAAGGCAAACCTAAAACATTCACTAGAAAAAGTTGTTTCGCCGCCACAAAACCCTCAAATCCGATCCTCAACCTTGAGATACATAAGACTTAAAATATAGATATATATACTTCATGTTTTGAAAATAGTGCACCATCTAATTCATTATCTAGACCGTCAATTGTCAAGATTTTTAAGTGTTCGTACATCTGCTCGATCTCTACTATTTTTGAAGTTTTTAATTCTATAACTAGAGATCCAAATAAATTTTCAGGCCATCACAAAGATTTCCGAAACTCCAACATCTTTCAGCATTATTTGAAGGTGCACCTTACAATGATCATTTAGGACCTCAGCCTTATACAAACCACACCTTATAGCCTTATTTGAAAAGGGTGGCTGTTTCACAGGAAAAAAGAACACTTAACTTATATGATCAATATAGGTGGGGTTATTCAATGATGTACTGAGAATGAGAGTGATAGAGATAAACTGGGTTATTTGACGATGTACTGAGAGAGAGAGAGAGAGAGAGAGAGAGAGGTGGGTGGGTAGGTT